ATTTCCACTGAGAATGAGATCAATCAACAATTTACTGAGAATGAGATCAATCAACAATTTACTGAGAATGAGATCAATCAACAATTTCCACTGAGAATGAGATCAATCAACAATTTCCACTGAGAATGAGATCAATCAACAATTTCACTGAGAATGAGATCAATCAACAATTTACTGAGAATGAGATCAATCAACAATTTCCACTGAGAATGAGATCAATCAACAATTTACTGAGAATGAGATCAATCAACAATTTCCACTGAGAATGAGATCCATCAACAATTTCCACTGAGAATGAGATCCATCAACAATTTCCACTGAGAATGAGATCCATCAACAATTTCCACTGAGAATGAGATCAATCAACAATTTCCACTGAGAATGAGATCAATCAACAATTTCCACTGAGAATGAGATCAATCAACAATTTCCACTGAGAATGAGATCAATCAACAATTTCCACTGAGAATGAGATCAATCAACAATTTCCACTGAGAATGAGATCAATCAACAATTTCCACTGAGAATGAGATCAATCAACAATTTCCACTGAGAATGAGATCAATCAACAATTTCCACTGAGAATGAGATCAATCAACAATTTACTGAGAATGAGATCAATCAACAATTTACTGAGAATGAGATCAATCAACAATTTACTGAGAATGAGATCAATCAACAATTTACTGAGAATGAGATCAATCAACAATTTCCACTGAGAATGAGATCAATCAACAATTTACTGAGAATGAGATCAATCAACAATTTCCACTGAGAATGAGATCAATCAACAATTTACTGAGAATGAGATCAATCAACAATTTACTGAGAATGAGATCAATCAACAATTTCCACTGAGAATGAGATCAATCAACAATTTCCACTGAGAATGAGATCAATCAACAATTTACTGAGAATGAGATCAATCAACAATTTACTGAGAATGAGATCAATCAACAATTTCCACTGAGAATGAGATCAATCAACAATTTACTGAGAATGAGATCAATCAACAATTTACTGAGAATGAGATCAATCAACAATTTACTGAGAATGAGATCAATCAACAATTTCCACTGAGAATGAGATCAATCAACAATTTACTGAGAATGAGATCAATCAACAATTTCCACTGAGAATGAGATCAATCAACAATTTCCACTGAGAATGAGATCAATCAACAATTTCCACTGAGAATGAGATCAATCAACAATTTCCACTGAGAATGAGATCAATCAACAATTTCCACTGAGAATGAGATCAATCAACAATTTCCACTGAGAATGAGATCAATCAACAATTTCCACTGAGAATGAGATCAATCAACAATTTCCACTGAGAATGAGATCAATCAACAATTTACTGAGAATGAGATCAATCAACAATTTACTGAGAATGAGATCAATCAACAATTTCCACTGAGAATGAGATCAATCAACAATTTCCACTGAGAATGAGATCAATCAACAATTTCCACTGAGAATGAGATCAATCAACAATTTCCACTGAGAATGAGATCAATCAACAATTTCCACTGAGAATGAGATCAATCAACAATTTACTGAGAATGAGATCAATCAACAATTTACTGAGAATGAGATCAATCAACAATTTCCACTGAGAATGAGATCAATCAACAATTTACTGAGAATGAGATCAATCAACAATTTCCACTGAGAATGAGATCCATCAACAATTTCCACTGAGAATGAGATCAATCAACAATTTCCACTGAGAATGAGATCAATCAACAATTTCCACTGAGAATGAGATCAATCAACAATTTCCACTGAGAATGAGATCAATCAACAATTTCCACTGAGAATGAGATCAATCAACAATTTTCCACTGAGAATGAGATCAATCAACAATTTCCACTGAGAATGAGATCAATCAACAATTTCCACTGAGAATGAGATCAATCAACAATTTCCACTGAGAATGAGATCAATCAACAATTTCCACTGAGAATGAGATCAATCAACAATTTCCACTGAGAATGAGATCAATCAACAATTTCCACTGAGAATGAGATCAATCAACAATTTCCACTGAGAATGAGATCAATCAACAATTTCCACTGAGAATGAGATCAATCAACAATTTCCACTGAGAATGAGATCAATCAACAATTTCCACTGAGAATGAGATCAATCAACAATTTACTGAGAATGAGATCAATCAACAATTTCCACTGAGAATGAGATCAATCAACAATTTCCACTGAGAATGAGATCAATCAACAATTTCCACTGAGAATGAGATCAATCAACAATTTACTGAGAATGAGATCAATCAACAATTTACTGAGAATGAGATCAATCAACAATTTACTGAGAATGAGATCAATCAACAATTTACTGAGAATGAGATCAATCAACAATTTACTGAGAATGAGATCAATCAACAATTTCCACTGAGAATGAGATCAATCAACAATTTCCACTGAGAATGAGATCCATCAACAATTTCCACTGAGAATGAGATCCATCAACAATTTCCACTGAGAATGAGATCAATCAACAATTTCCACTGAGAATGAGATCAATCAACAATTTACTGAGAATGAGATCAATCAACAATTTACTGAGAATGAGATCAATCAACAATTTACTGAGAATGAGATCAATCAACAATTTACTGAGAATGAGATCAATCAACAATTTCCACTGAGAATGAGATCAATCAACAATTTACTGAGAATGAGATCAATCAACAATTTCCACTGAGAATGAGATCAATCAACAATTTACTGAGAATGAGATCAATCAACAATTTACTGAGAATGAGATCAATCAACAATTTCCACTGAGAATGAGATCAATCAACAATTTACTGAGAATGAGATCAATCAACAATTTACTGAGAATGAGATCAATCAACAATTTACTGAGAATGAGATCAATCAACAATTTACTGAGAATGAGATCAATCAACAATTTCCACTGAGAATGAGATCAATCAACAATTTACTGAGAATGAGATCAATCAACAATTTCCACTGAGAATGAGATCAATCAACAATTTACTGAGAATGAGATCAATCAACAATTTACTGAGAATGAGATCAATCAACAATTTCCACTGAGAATGAGATCAATCAACAATTTCCACTGAGAATGAGATCAATCAACAATTTACTGAGAATGAGATCAATCAACAATTTACTGAGAATGAGATCAATCAACAATTTCCACTGAGAATGAGATCAATCAACAATTTACTGAGAATGAGATCAATCAACAATTTACTGAGAATGAGATCAATCAACAATTTACTGAGAATGAGATCAATCAACAATTTCCACTGAGAATGAGATCAATCAACAATTTACTGAGAATGAGATCAATCAACAATTTCCACTGAGAATGAGATCAATCAACAATTTCCACTGAGAATGAGATCAATCAACAATTTCCACTGAGAATGAGATCAATCAACAATTTCCACTGAGAATGAGATCAATCAACAATTTCCACTGAGAATGAGATCAATCAACAATTTCCACTGAGAATGAGATCAATCAACAATTTCCACTGAGAATGAGATCAATCAACAATTTCCACTGAGAATGAGATCAATCAACAATTTACTGAGAATGAGATCAATCAACAATTTACTGAGAATGAGATCAATCAACAATTTCCACTGAGAATGAGATCAATCAACAATTTCCACTGAGAATGAGATCAATCAACAATTTCCACTGAGAATGAGATCAATCAACAATTTCCACTGAGAATGAGATCAATCAACAATTTCCACTGAGAATGAGATCAATCAACAATTTACTGAGAATGAGATCAATCAACAATTTACTGAGAATGAGATCAATCAACAATTTCCACTGAGAATGAGATCAATCAACAATTTACTGAGAATGAGATCAATCAACAATTTCCACTGAGAATGAGATCCATCAACAATTTCCACTGAGAATGAGATCCATCAACAATTTCCACTGAGAATGAGATCCATCAACAATTTCCACTGAGAATGAGATCAATCAACAATTTACTGAGAATGAGATCAATCAACAATTTACTGAGAATGAGATCAATCAACAATTTCCACTGAGAATGAGATCAATCAACAATTTCCACTGAGAATGAGATCAATCAACAATTTACTGAGAATGAGATCAATCAACAATTTCCACTGAGAATGAGATCAATCAACAATTTCCACTGAGAATGAGATCAATCAACAATTTCCACTGAGAATGAGATCAATCAACAATTTCCACTGAGAATGAGATCAATCAACAATTTCCACTGAGAATGAGATCAATCAACAATTTCCACTGAGAATGAGATCAATCAACAATTTCCACTGAGAATGAGATCAATCAACAATTTACTGAGAATGAGATCAATCAACAATTTCCACTGAGAATGAGATCAATCAACAATTTCCACTGAGAATGAGATCAATCAACAATTTCCACTGAGAATGAGATCAATCAACAATTTACTGAGAATGAGATCAATCAACAATTTACTGAGAATGAGATCAATCAACAATTTACTGAGAATGAGATCAATCAACAATTTACTGAGAATGAGATCAATCAACAATTTACTGAGAATGAGATCAATCAACAATTTCCACTGAGAATGAGATCAATCAACAATTTCCACTGAGAATGAGATCAATCAACAATTTCCACTGAGAATGAGATCCATCAACAATTTCCACTGAGAATGAGATCAATCAACAATTTACTGAGAATGAGATCAATCAACAATTTACTGAGAATGAGATCAATCAACAATTTACTGAGAATGAGATCAATCAACAATTTACTGAGAATGAGATCAATCAACAATTTACTGAGAATGAGATCAATCAACAATTTACTGAGAATGAGATCAATCAACAATTTACTGAGAATGAGATCAATCAACAATTTACACTGAACAATTTATACTGAGTGAGATCCATCAGCAATGGAAACATTCCAGTGGTTGTCCTTCAGCTGAATGACAAAGATGTCATACCATCAATCATCACTACGAACACCAAATTCCAATCAGAAGAAGGTTTTCCGTTATTACATTGTCGCTTATGCCGTCGCCCAGCTTCTCCACTACAACATGATCTGTATTGCGGACAGAAGAGTTACATTGGCGCGGGACAGCATCGATAGACCAGACCATGAGTTCTTTCTTTTCCTCTGGCTGTCAACCAAAGTAAAGGAGCACGCCTTACCTCAATTTGTTCGAAGTATTCACTCTCTCCCCGAGTTATTACTGTATTGCGGGATTGGAGAATTTGCGCGTTTTTTTTTGACATTTGTGTACCGACTACTGTGTTCCCATATTCCATAAAAGTGAATACAGCAACATAAAATTATGAGAAAAGTGGCAAAATTAAAATCAACGAAGACAATGATAAAAGTGACAGAAAACATTGAATAAAAGTGAAGCATAATGAGATATTTTGAGCATGTATAAAAGACTATAGCTTACACTCGAAGCACAACACGGCCTCTAATTTTCCCTTCCTCCAAATCTTTCAATATGTCGTTTACACAGCTGAACGGTTTCTCAGCTACATGAGCTTTGACCTTTCCTTCAGCAACATAGCGGAACGCTTCTTCAAGGTCTCGTGGCGTACCCACAATTGAACCCTGGAGGCGAAGTTCCTTCAGAATGAACTGGACGACATCGATTTTGAAGTGACCAGATGGAAGTGCTACGGTAACGATGGTTGCTCCAGGAGAGACATATTCAATGGCATCCGAGACTGCTTGGAGCGCCGGAGCAAAAATAACCGAAGCCGCAATTGGCTTTTTCGGTTGAACGGAATTGAACTTTTCGACAACTGGCTTTTTCTCGCCTCCAAGATTGATGATAAAATCGGCACCAAGCTCTTTGGTCATGACTTCTTTAGCTTCGTCAAAAACATCGAGAGCAATGACTTCAAAACCCCATGGCTTTGGCATATTGAATAGCCAGATGGCCCAAACCACCACAAGCACCAGCAATTACAATGCGAGCTCCGGCTGGAGCATTGGTCATGCGCAAGGCTTTATAGGAAGTTACTCCAGCACAGAGAACTGGGGCTGCTTCTGCATCGCTCACGCCACTCGGAATTCTGCAGCAATGCAATGAAATTCTGAAGGAGACCCAGAGCTCCTCACTTTGCAGCAAATCTCTCATCCGCTATAAAGTACTCTGCGAATGAGCCATCTTGAACGAAGCCAGTCTGTTTCTGATTTTCGCACATGTTCTCTCGACCGTCTTTGCAAAGATAGCAATCCATGCACGAACTCCCCAGCCACGCAACTCCAATGCGGTCCCCGATTTTTATTGTGGTCACTTCGGAGCCAACAGCCTCAACAACCCCGACGCCTTCATGACCCGGCGTCAATGGAAGCTTCAAGGTGCCCCAATCACCAGCTGCGACATGAACATCTGTGTGGCAGACACCTGAAACGGTTGTTTTGGCCAAAACTTGATGTCCAGTGGGAATTGGTTTTGCGACCTGGCGCCCTGAAAACAGAGTTGGAAGAAGCTTTACAAGCACCACTCTTACGCTCAAGAGGTTTTCGGTGCTCGGTAACTTGGTAGGCTTGCATTTTAATTGAGAAGACAAACTTGCCGAAAACTTGACTGGTGATGGTTGACTGAATGTGCACTAGGTTGACTGGTGATGGTTGACTGAATGTGCACTAGGTTGCATGCAATGTGTCGAGCACAATGGTTCGTAGTGTGCATTTGTATGTGAAAAAAAAATTAAAACATCATTTACCTGAAAATGAAGAAGAATCAAGCTTCCCAGTTGGTGAAGGTCTCGACAACACTTTGAAAAATCCGTTGCTTAGATGCTTGATCGGCAGTTCGATTACTACAGTGATGATGACCGCTCCAATGAATGTCAACAATACATTGAAAACGTAGCACAAAAACAGACGCCCTGGAAGTCACCAGCATTGAGACATCTGATCCAGACATCTCTTCATACCTCTTAGAAACTGTGTTGGTCCAAACCCATTTCCATAGAATGCGAACAAAACAATCGGGTGAGCGAGGTACATGGTATAACTCAACTTGGACAAGGGAGACCAAAGAGGATGTGAGAGAAATCGTTTGAGTAAGACGATGAGGGACTGAAGACGCCCAGGGAGACCGTCATCTGGAACTACAACCATCATTAACGTCAATCCAGCAAGAGACAGGCCCCATAGAGTTCTAGGGAGAATGATAGAACAAGAAGTAAGGGATCCGAGATAGAAGCACAGTGAACCAATAAGCGATGGAAATAGTCCCTACCTTGAAACTCCCATGAAACACGCGTCGACCGTTGTGGACCAAAACTTTGACACCCATGGCGCGTTGTTAGCGAAATGTCCGCAAAGGATGAGAAACACAGGAATGAATACAGTGACGGTGAAGAGCAAAGGAAAGAAGCGAATTAGAAATTGGATGAAGGGTGGTAAAGAATGAAAAGGAAATGAGGTGGTGGGGTGGGATGATGTGACTGGTTTCAGTGATTTCAATGGCAGATCCCTTTGAGACAAATATGTAGAAGCAGATGACTTTAAGAACCGTTTTCTCGAGAGATGTCGATCTGAGTTGAAGCTCGAATAAGGAACGCTATCCGTTGTCGAAATACTGGATGTTGACGGAGCTCTGTGCGTATCATGAGATTGATTAAGAACCTCGGAGAAATGAAGAGATGGGAAGCGACCAGCCCCGTAGGCATCAAAATTTGGAACAGAGGAAGAGGATTCCATCAACGAGCACCGAGAAATGTTGCGATAAGGCGATAACGATTGGGACCGAATGATCGATGGGCGAAAATGCATGAACTGGACTTCTCGACTTCCAGAATGCGAAGAGCGACCAGAGGAACGAGATCGACGTTGGGACAACTGACGATCGAAATGATCGTTGCGTTGGGATGAACTGGAGCGGCGCATTACGTGGGTATTGCATTCGTCTCTCTCGGAAGAAGTCTGAGAGTCGATAGGGTCCTTGGGACTGTCGATTGTTAGCGCTGGGCGCAGTGAGGAACGAAGGATCCTACGGGGAGAAGAATAACATCCTTCCATCGATTCAGATTGTTGGGGAGTCTGAGAAGATTCGCTCTTGCATACAGCCACAATGAGTCCCAACGCAAGTCCGATGACATGCGGGGCTATTCTGACGTAGGATTTGACGTAAAAGTAATCCATGACTGGATGAAGTGGAAGGTATTCGCGATTGATGAGATGGGGCGAGGCAGCCATATAGGAATCAACGAAACGATCAACGACAGCACCGAGTCGATATTTTAAGCAAATAGCGATGGATGTCAAAATGCAACCGATGGAGATGAAAGAAATCTCTAACCACGCCACAAGAGGAGATGCGAGAGAACTGATAACAATGAGCAATCCAACAACGAAAAATTGAAAGTCATTACTGAGATACCAACTCCATCCTACAGAAGCAGATTACCAAATTAATTGAAGCATCAATACGGCTCACCAAAACATTCGTTCACGAACTCGCCGTGAACCAAATTGTTGATGAATAATAGCAATGATGGAGTGATTTCAGAGCATGACACATTTGTTGATTGAAGATAACGAGATCCAGCTGGAAGCCGCATTGTTGTCCAATTCAAAGCAAGATACCCGAAAAGAATTATTGAATGGACGCCCATCAACCGGACGTATCGCTGGAGAATAACAACAACCGAAAGGAGGAGAGTTTTGACCAGTTTGAACAGGCATCGTAATCCCTTGGAAGTTTTTGTATTCGAGGATGCTTTATTACATTTCCCTTCCTCGGCCAATTCATGAGACCGCTTCTTCTCGTTGTTGAACACCTTGTCATGAAAGTAGAGCTTCAGTTGATATCCCGCAAGAAATCCACTGATGAAAAAAAAGTTGTCGACTGCAAAGATTGCAGCGAAGAGATAAAAATTGAGAGGATCCTTTGCCATCGAGAAGACCATTTTGGAAGATTGGGACAAAGGCAGATAAAGACTCCAGTAGAGGGTCGAATGTCCGCTGATGACCCACAGCATTGAAATAACGCGAAGACCTGAGAGACGCAAAAAGCCTGTTGACCTTCAGATGGACTTTATTTACTCACCATCGAAGAATGAGAAAGAGAAATGCACATGACGCTGAGAGCTAGGAGATTTGAAGAGGGAAGCCAGGTGGTCCGAATATCTGAAGGCTGATCGAAGAGATTGTTTGTAAGTTGATGCGTCTCGCAATAATCCAATGACACTTCCAGCAATCAAAAGAATTCCAATAGCGGCGAGGCCTTCGATTCCTAGTTGTTGATGTTTCGGCAATTCACGGAAACCTAACACAGTTCGGATCCATAGACCATTACGGTAACCTCTATGCGGACTAGAAGTCGAATTTCCAGGAGTGGATTGGACGGAACCAGGGAAATCGTGTCCATGAGAGCTCATGAGTTCTTTGGTGACCGTTAGACCATTGTTTTCGTTTGCGCTCATCACCCAAAATTTAGACTTCCAGTTTGATCTGCCAACTTTTGGATGGTAGTGACGAGTGGACAAGAGGAAATCCATCAATGTGCAGTTAAGGTCTCGTTGCCTTTCTATTTCCTCATCATCTACACCGCACGAGGCATCTGGATGTGTGAGGAGATGCGACGAATGAAACCAGCAGATGTCCGTGAAAATTTGATTCCAATTGGAATGGTCGATGAACTGATGGGATTGCGATACGCTTGCTGGAGCCCCCGCTGAAATCGTGGTAAACTTCACGGACAAGACGAAGATTATCAATTGTCCAAATAGCATTTTGATCGGTGTTGGGGAGGTGTTGGGGACCTGCAGACGGCAAGGTGACTCTACACTGTGAAGATGGATATGAAAAGCAGTGCGCAACTGCAACAGATAAAAATTACGATGGTACTACTTGAATATGATCACTATGACTGGTGTGTGACTTGCAAATCTGAATGAAGGAAGATAAAAGATTTGAAACAAATTACGATAACAAAATTAGTGAACTCCAAATTGATTTATGTTTGTAAAATAGTTGCTTAAAATTGAATGATCTGACACCTGCATACAATATGAATTAATGAATTAGGCATGCAGATGTAGAACAGAAATGGTGCACAGACCGGGCATGCAATTGATGTAGTTCAAAATGGAAACATGACTACACGACGACACTCATCAGTCCCGAATGAAGCTGACATTGGAAAAGAAAGGAAGATGGATAACATGACTGACACTGCGCCGTTGGAAAGATATAGGGGCGCATCAATATTCGTCGTTCGTCAGCCCGGACACGTTACGTTCTATGGAAAACTCTGGAAGGACAGAGGCTGAATTGATCGCTGATGCTTCCACAGAGTGACATCAATCGATGAGGTGGATCCTACGACTGCTTCCAACTTTGTCTGTGACATCACTTTCATCCAAAGTGGTTAATATTCCAATGGTAGGCGAATCTCAAAATCACACTCAAATGTGTTCTCGAGCCAACTTACATCACTTGTTTGACAGATTCACCTTGATCTTTCCGAAGCACTTTATGAAGATGAAGATCTGTCGCTGGGGAGTTTCTGCCAACCCCCATGTTCAGATTAAGGGATTCACAGTCCAAGTAGTTAAAACACATTATAATTAAGCAGTTTATTAAGTTGGAGACCAAAGAACAATGATTGGGTGACAGAATAAGTAAGGGAAAAAACGATGAAGGCTCAACTCAGCCTTTGAAGGTTCACAGAATCTCAACACAGAATCTCAACACAGAATCTCAACACAGAATCTCAACACAGAATCTCAACACAGAATCTCAACACAGAATCTCAACACAGAATCTCAACACAGAATCTCAACACAGAATCTCAACACAGAATCTCAACACAGAATCTCAACACAGAATCTCAACACAGAATCTCAACACAGAATCTCAACACAGAATCTCAACACAGAATCTCAACACAGAATCTCAACACAGAATCTCAACACAGAATCTCAACACAGAATCTCAACACAGAATCTCAACACAGAATCTCAACACAGAATCTCAACACAGAATCTCAACACAGAATCTCAACACAGAATCTCAACACAGAATCTCAACACAGAATCTCAACACAGAATCTCAACACAGAATCTCAACACAGAATCTCAACACAGAATCTCAACACAGAATCTCAACACAGAATCTCAACACAGAATCTCAACACAGAATCTCAACACAGAATCTCAACACAGAATCTCAACACAGAATCTCAACACAGAATCTCAACACAGAATCTCAACACAGAATCTCAACACAGAATCTCAACACAGAATCTCAACACAGAATCTCAACACAGAATCTCAACACAGAATCTCAACACAGAATCTCAACACAGAATCTCAACACAGAATCTCAACACAGAATCTCAACACAGAATCTCAACACAGAATCTCAACACAGAATCTCAACACAGAATCTCAACACAGAATCTCAACACAGAATCTCAACACAGAATCTCAACACAGAATCTCAACACAGAATCTCAACACAGAATCTCAACACAGAATCTCAACACAGAATCTCAACACAGAATCTCAACACAGAATCTCAACACAGAATCTCAACACAGAATCTCAACACAGAATCTCAACACAGAATCTCAACACAGAATCTCAACACAGAATCTCAACACAGAATCTCAACACAGAATCTCAACACAGAATCTCAACACAGAATCTCAACACAGAATCTCAACACAGAATCTCAACACAGAATCTCAACACAGAATCTCAACACAGAATCTCAACACAGAATCTCAACACAGAATCTCAACACAGAATCTCAACACAGAATCTCAACACAGAATCTCAACACAGAATCTCAACACAGAATCTCAACACAGAATCTCAACACAGAATCTCAACACAGAATCTCAACACAGAATCTCAACACAGAATCTCAACACAGAATCTCAACACAGAATCTCAACACAGAATCTCAACACAGAATCTCAACACAGAATCTCAACACAGAATCTCAACACAGAATCTCAACACAGAATCTCAACACAGAATCTCAACACAGAATATCAACACAGAATCTCAACACAGAATCTCAACACAGAATCTCAACACAGAATCTCAACACAGAATCTCAACACAGAATCTCAACACAGAATCTCAACACAGAATCTCAACACAGAAACTCAACACAGAATCTCAACACAGAAACTCAACACAGAATCTCAACACAGAAACTCAACACAGAATCTCAACACAGAATCTCAACACAGAATCTCAACACAGAATCTCAACACAGAATCTCAACACAGAATCTCAACACAGAATCTCAACACAGAATCTCAACACAGAATCTCAACACAGAATCTCAGAAAGAATGACTTCGGAATCGAGGATGTCTCATATTATTTTTCTTTTTCGCAAGTAGTTGAGGCACACAGTGCGTTCCCATAGTTAGCTGTCTCGAGTTCTCAACAGTTCAATTCAATAGTGTCGTTTATCCATAGGGATCTCAACTAAATGAAACAAAGGACCTTCACATCCTCTGTCGCATCCCTACAAAAAAGAGGTTGCGTTTCAAACATCATCCAATTAGCTTCCTCGTCTTGACTGACCTCTTCCTCTTCCAGCTGGCATTTGATTTTGAGGTTCTGGATTGCTTTTAGGATTGCGGACTGTTTCATCAATCGAGAGAATAACACAAGTAGCCTAAAATTTCAAAAACAAAGAGAACCGTGAATTTATACAATAAGAATTTGGTCTGACGCACCTCAGTGGCCGCTTGAATGGCGTGTAACTTAACAAGGGAAGGCTCCCATATGAACCTTTCAAACGCGTTACAAATTCCACCATCAGAGCAATCCACACCAAACCAACGATTTTCAACTGAAAAAACGGCAAATCAGATAGCACAACAAGCAAATTCTATTCCTCACGCTTTCCTTCGTGGTGCCTGTGTCTCAGCCTGTTCAGAATGTCCGTCTGGTCCAGACCGCTATTTGAAGCCAAAGCTTTGGGAATGCATTCGAGCGCCTTTGCATATGCATTGATTAACAACTGCTGCTTCCCACTGATGGACCGGCTGTGCTCCCTGAGAGCACGACTGAGTTCCATCTAAACAAAGACAGACGATGAAATTTTTTTTTTCTATCTATGATGTCTCAATTCATCGGAAGCCGTTCGACCGCCTCACGTTACAAAGTATGCTATTGCTTGGAGACGGACGTACCTCAACAGAACCGCCACCCCCCACAATGGAGTTCGTCTTCACGGCTCGTCTCACAATCATAATTGCGTCATTAAGACTTCTTTCCGCCTCATCAATGAATTGTTGCGCGCCACCACGTAGAATGAGCGTTGCAGATTTTGCACGAGGACAATTTTTGAAGAGATTGTATCTTTCTGAACCAATTTGAATTTCCTCGAAAATTCCACACGTTCCTGTAGAAGCGAGAAAACCATAAGGAGCGCGTTTGCGCGAAAAAACGCCAGTATGCTTGACTGACCAAGTACGTCGAGCGACACGTTGGTAACTGTTGTTTGAATCTGAGCCCCAGTCGCTCGAGCTGTCCGTTTCATATCTGACTCTTCAACCCGGCCAGCACAGAAAATATCCCTATCAGCGAAATACTGCGTTGCTAAATCCCCAATGGGAAGTCTGCTGAGAACGACTGACAACAAAGAGCATTGAAAATAGACATGAACGTCTCTTGAATCACCTTGAGCTCCAGTTGAAACAATCTTGTCAAGCTTCCCATAAATGATTTTCCATTCAGCGTCAACTATAGATTGATAATCCTATAAAAAGAGTCCATAATTAAGGGCCTTCACGGACCCTCAATCGAGGAATTCGAGTCAAGAAACACACCGAGGGATTTTCAATTCGAACTTCGGCATTTTCTTTTCTGCTTTTAATTCTAATTCTAAATTCAACAACAAAATTCTCGGATTTTCAAATTTTTTCGGTTGTTGTTCAAATCCAGCGTAACTGAATGTTTTCTTGAAAGCAACGCCATCGACGAGCATTGAATCCTAAAGAAGGAAAAATAACGCTTCAAGTCAAACGAATGAAGTGAATAGAAGTCAAAAAAATGAGGAACAAGATGCTGATGTAAGAATTAGGAAGCGATAGAAAAACAATGAAGTGATATGTAAGAATTATGAAGCAATTTCTATGGATTGAATTTTGATGAATGGATTGATGATCAGTTGATCTCACCATGACAGAACCACCAGACACCTCTTAATCCCAATCATTGTCTTATCGAGTGATGTATCCAGCATCAAAACCGTATCGACCACCATCTGAAATTCAGCGACTTTCAATATCAATAGCCGCACATTAATACCTTGGCAAACATTTGTTTGTATCCAGCAACAAGTTTAGAATTCAAGGTGGTTTGGGCGCAACGTTCCAAAAGAAGTCTTCGTTCTCTGAAACAGACGCGATCAACCCATAGTGCTCGGTGTTCTCATAGTGCGCGGTGTGCTTCTTACCCTTCATCCTTGTCAGCAAGTGAGACTTGAATTTCTTTGAGCTTTTCAATTGCAAGTTTGCAGGCTGTTTGGAATCCTTTGATAACAACTTGAGGCGCCATCCCATCCTCAATGAAATTTTTTGCTTCAGTGAGAAATTCACCTGCGAGATAAAAAATCATCAGAGAAATATCTTCGACAAAGATCCCATCATCAGAGAGATACGTATCGATGAGCAGTACGACTGTCCCGATTCCGTCATCGTCATACCTGTGAGAAGCACAACAGACGTTGTCCCATCGCCAACTTCATCATCTTGAGCTTTTGCGAGATCGACTAAGACCCTTGCGGCTGGATGAACGACATTCAGAAGATCAACGACAGTCGCTCCGTCATTCGTGATTGTGACGCGATGGTCGTCATAAATCAGTTTGTCCATTCCACGTGGTCCTAATGTTGTTCGGACAATATCGACAATCGCCTGGCATGCATTGATATTGGAAATGATTTGAGGACGTCCTTGTGAAGTGTCGGTGCCTTCCTTCAAAAGGATAATGGGCGCGTTCTAAAAGATAAAAAGTTACACAGATAGAGTGCATAAAGACACATTTATCATCAATTTTCATAGTGGGGAAGAAACTTACAAGAAATTGGGGGGCTGCCATCCTCGTGGCTGAAGAGGGAACAGATATCGACAATATTCCATGGGGGTTATTACCGCACCTTCTTTTTCTTATGGAGAGACACGCCAGTAGACTTCTCACGTCACCCTTCAGGAGAAGCAATCTGTTTTCTGATATGCTCTGGCCCAAAAGTCTTTCGTACCTGTGGGACACTTTTTCTCAGCTGGCAGAAGGTGATTTCCTGTTCCATCAGAAGGAGAATCTTGTACTTGATTTCTTCTATTAAAGATGCTCCCTCGTGGCCAACCCGTTCTTGTTGTTCAAAATCCTCAAAGAGAGATCAAGGACGTCGCGCTCAAATAGCCAACATCCAGGTGAAACCCGAGTGTCCAACACTGTGGCAGATAGATATCAGACTTCTATTCCCATCAACTAACTCGAATTAACCATCAACTAACTAATAGACCATCAACTGACTCGAATAGACCATCAACTGACTCGAATAGACCATCAACTGACCATCAACTGACCATCAACTGTCTCTGATTCTGGATCTTCTTTCAGGCAGGGACGGCTGTCGCTGAAATTGTCCGGACAACTCTTGGCCCGAAGGCGATGCTGAAGATGCTCTTGGATCCCATGGGTGGGATCGTATTGACGAACGATGGGAATGCGATATTAAGAGAGGTATTCCTTCATGTCATCGATAGAAGTCATGATATACTCGTTGATATCGATTGTATTGATGGTTATTTGCTGTTGATTGTATTCGTTGGAAGAGTGAAAGACTTTCATCCATCACTCTCAATTGCTTTGATGATCAGGTTGATGTATCCCACCCTGCTGCTAAGTCGATTATTGAATTGAGTCGAGCACAAGATGAAGAAACAGGAGACGGGACTACAAGCGTTGTCGTCTTAGCAGGTGAAATGTTGAGTGTATCTGAGCCCTTGCTTGAAAGAAATTTACATCCAACTCAAATTGTCATGGGATATTTGCAAGTGAGTCATTCCCTAGGATCACTCCACTACAACGACGAATCCGAACCACTTCCTACCCCATTAGAGTCTCACTCCAGTTCAGAGATGATGAACTCTTCACTCTTTTGAATAGCGAATGTTGTTCAATCTTTGGTCGCTCTCTTCAGGCTCTAGAGGATTGCATTGCAATTATGAACAGCGTCGCTCTTCAGCTGGATCTCAATAACGATACGCACTTGATTCAAGTGTTGGATTCATGTGAGCACAGAATAAATTCTTGTCTGCTTTTTAGTTCTGCTGGTTGCCCAAGTCTCCTCTGTGGATTTTAATTTTTTTTTTTTTTCCATCAACAGGCTTGAACACGAAATTTTCGTCGCGCTGGGGACAATTGATATCGAAACTCGCGCTCAATGCTGCGAAAGCTGTTTGTGTTGAACTTCCAAATGGGAAGAAAGACATCGATATCAAAAAGTTCGCCAAAGTTGAGAAAATTCCGGGGGGTGAAATTGAGGACTCGAGTAAGAGTTTCACTTATTGACTGATCTCAATTATTTTTTGTTTTAGTCGTTCTGAAGGGTGTTATGCTCAATAAAGATGTTACACATCCGAAAATGAGAAGAAAAATAGTCAATCCACGGGTTTGTTGTCTTGCGAAAAATGTCGTCTATTAATTTTTGTTTCAAGGTTGTTCTTCTGGATTGTCCTCTCGAATATAAGAAGGGAGAGTCCCAAACAGCTGTTGAAATCAGTAAAGAAGAAGATTGGGAGAAAATTTTGCAACAAGAGGAGGAAGAAGTTAAGAAAATGTGTGATGAAATTATCGCGATCGGATGCGATTTAGGTGAGTCGAACTTGAAGACCATTGGAAATTCGAGAAGAGTAGAATCATTTACCATCAATCATTTATAAACTGTTCTAATTTTCATTTACAAAATGAGAAATAAATCTGATGGAATACCTAATTATTATCTATTCGAATATATATATCCTTATGGTCGATAATAGACTGTCATCAATAGAATCATTGCAATTTTGATTTCTATCAATCTTCATTCATCTTTCTCTCAGTCATAACCGAGAAGGGAGTGTCTGATCTGGCTCAACACTTTCTGGTTAAAGCAGGAATCTCGGTTATTCGTCGAGTGCGCAAAACCGACAATAATCGCTTGTCTCGAGTGACTGGTGCGACAATCGTAACAAGGACAGATGAACTCTCGAGTCATGACGTTGGGACAGACTGTGGATTATTTGAAGTCAAGAAGATTGGTAAGAACATATATCACTGATAAGAGTCTAGATTCCTGTTGGTCTTTTTTATGTGTAGGTGATGAATATTTCGGATATTTTATCGAGTGTAAGGATCCCAAAGCTTGTACGATCGTATTACGCGGAGGTTCAAAAGATGTCCTTAATGAGACGGAAAGGTATTCTTGATTTGATCATCCTCTCGAAATCTTGGTTTTTAGAAATCTTCAAGACGCCCTCAACGTGTCACGAAATCTTCTTCTCGAAGCCAAATTACTTCCAGGAGGCGGAGCAATAGAAATGGAGCTTGCGGCAAGATTAACAGAAAAAAGTGCTACAGTGGAGGGTGTCAAACAATGGCCCTATAAAGCAGTTGCAGCAGCTCTTGAAGTTATTCCAAGAACCCTGATTCAAAACTGTGGAGCTGATGTTGGTGAGCGTGATAGTAGTGGCATAGTGATAGATATTGATAGATATAGATTGTCAAATATCTTTTTTGTCTTCCAGTCCGGACAATCACTGATTTGAGGGCTCGTCATGCAACTCCGGGAAATGCGACAATCGGTGTTGATGGGAACACTGGCAAGATAGTAGACGTGACGACACTTGGTATCTGGGATACCTACACAGTGAAGCTGCAAATCATCAAAACCGCAATTGAAGCCGTACGTTTATATATATAAATATCGATAAAGGCAGGAATGATATATCGATTTATTTTTTGTTTTCAGGCATCAATGATTGTTAGAATTGACGACGTTCTATCAGGAATTACGAAGAAGAAAGGAGAAGAGGATGGATCAGGCAAACCGCTCATACCAGATGAATAGTGGTCTGATTTTGTGCGATTTTTTGAACATCAAACCTTGTGGATGAACGGCATTTATCACGAAAAACAACATTTATGGCGATGTGGACTCCATACTGTCAACAACGTAAGGATCATGGAACGAAAGATCTCTATCGCGTTGATTAGTTACTTCAGAGAGACGCGTACTGTGAGAGAGATTTCCAACGCATTGGAGAAGAATTACAACAGGAAACTGGGACAAGTCATCAATCCTTTTTGGGAAATTACGATATGTGAGTGATTTTATTCGTTTGTGAAGTTGAATCATTAGACGTTGAGTCAAAATGATCCTCGCTATTGATGAAAAGATTCTTTTGTTCCAGAAATGTTATGGAAATTGCATTGCGTTATCATGGACTCTCGTTGAAGTGGTTTGATCGAAATAAATTCTCACTCTCGGATCTTTTGATCTCACCAGATGAATCGACTGTTGAGTTGATAGGATTGATCGTCAATGTTCAGTCAAACTCTTGGACATCGTTTTTCAGTCCAGCAAAAGGAGAACACTTTTTTGCTCTGCGTCGCTTCACTTCAAAAGATGATCTTTCAGAAGAAAACCGTCCTGTGACCTCCGTTGTCCCAAAGTCATCATCTTTGGGACAAGAGTGGTGGGTGAATCTCGATTCACGTCTGCAGGAGGTTCAAGTATTTCCAGATCGTCCATCCGTTCTTGAGTTTTTGCAGAACGTTCCTTCAAAGCATCAACCACATATTTTGCAAGTCTTGCGCCAACAGACTTCTCTCATTCCCTAAACAGGGAAAAATCGAGTGAGAGTGCTTTCAAGCGATCCCTGTTTAGTGGTTTCTTCTTGTAGGAGGACTACAAGCGTTTTGGTCACTTCAGTGGTTCATATTCTTGAGAATTGATGTGGTACATCTTGTCGCTGCTACTCGGTACTGATGCAATCCCTGGGCAAGGCAGATACCAACAGATGCATCCAAACCAGCGGAAGCGGTCGGTGACTGGAATTCGATCGATGTTTCTGCAAAACCGGATGACGACAGGCATTCTTAATAACAGTTGTTCCACTGATCCTGCGGCTACACACACTACGCGTTTATTATGATCCGATGAAATCAAGCGCTTAGTTAGAATATGAAAAGATCAATCAAGTTTGACGGGCTGGATTTTCATCAAGCAGCTAAAAGTTCTGGCATTGAATCTTCCAGCTGAGTTGAAAGCTCTTTAACAATTGTACTCCAATTTTCAAATCGATTACGAATTAATTCAACTCTGAAAAACAAATTTCATAAAAAACAAATGCAATATATTTGTGAGACCCATGTAACATATTTGTGAGTTTCTTACCTCTGAGGGTCGACTACTCGAGGAGTGACCCAATCCACGCTAAGATGGTGTTCAATTCCATCAATTGAACCACGAATAAGTTTTAAGCTCATTGCTTTCATCACCAGGCGCTCACACTGCAGAAAGTCACATTTAATATCCATCGCTGCGAATACTCTTACTTGGGACTCAGAAATTTGGCAATGCTTGCCAATTGCATCAAATGGGAGGATGCGATCTGTTTGTGGTAATTTGAACGCAAGATCAACGAGAGATGTCAGTGTCATCTTCAAACGCAGCTGCGGCATCCTAGCGCCGAATGCATCCTGAGAAAATCATGGAATATGTGCCACGCAATGCGCTTACATTCGCCTGCTGCGGGTATTGCTTCATTGCCGATTCAAACATAGGGAGCGAGCCTTCAGACGCAGCTTCAATAAAATCAACAACCCACTTCTGTGAGGGATCTAAAGTTGTCAAAATCGGCGCGGAGATCAAAGTCCCAAAATCAAACATTCCATCAGCAATCAAACCAGCAACTGCAAGATCGTAAGCGATGAGCTGTTGCCGTTGAAGAGGAATCGAGTCTAAAATAAGAAAGTTTTTTGGACTCGAGAACAAACAACGGCAAATAAGTAACACAGTGAAGAATTTGCATACTCAAAGATGTATACGCCAAGTAGAGAAGGGTGCTTTCATAGAACTGGCGAGGGTCATCGGCCGCCTGAAAATTGATAAATGAACGAGATGAAGAAATGTGAACGTACCTTGAAGTAATTAGCACAAGCTTCGTTGAACGCGGAATTAATTGCAAGATCAACTCCAATTTGTTTCTCCAATTGTGAAGCTATTTCACCTAAAAGAAGATCTGAGGCTTTTTGGAGATCCTTAGAACGTATCAAAACATTAGCCTAGGAAACAAAGATGAAGAAGTATAGGAAGACGATATTTGGGACTAAGAGGGCACACCTTAACGATATTGAGAAGAGTGGAGGCATCAGAAGAGTCAACAAACGCAGGTTGAAACTCCTCTACCAAAAGCATGCCATCATCAGGAGCTGAAAAAATGAGGAACATGGAAGTCTAAAATGTATTGGAATGATAAATAAGTGTTCCTCAATGAAGAACGTCGTTGTATCAGAAATTCTTGACTCATCAGAAAATTCGTCTGAAGAATGCGTGGGTCTACGAGATTC